TCACTATATTAATAATTATCAATAAGATTAGCTACAAGTTACCTTTATATTTGCAATTTAATCTATAGGGATAAAAATTTTCGAATGAAAAAAAAAAAAAAAAACGTTTTCCCTAGAAATTGAGATTTCTGCGGATGTAAAATTTCTCGGTAAAATTGGAAAAATTAATTTAAAAATAATTATTATTTTTTTATTATTTACGAAAAATTGTACAAATATAATCTATAAAACCTGTAATGTAAATATTCTGACTAATTCTGCACGTGACTTGTTGACGACAAACTGATGTGATCACAAACTCTCGATTTTTTTCACGATTTCGTTATTTTAATGAAGTACCTACCACGTTTTCTAGCATAAATATGGTTCCAATTAAAAAACGACAAGAGGTCGTATTTTTTTTCATAATCGTTTTGAAATCAAATTTAAACGAAAATCGCAAAAAAAATTATGGTACTTGAAATTATGTATTACCGAACTGCGCTCGGAATCGTCTTCCCACCTTTACAACTTCCCCCCTACAACAGTGGCTGCACCCGCCCCCAAAATTCGTTCTATTTTATTTTCAAATTACACCAATTGTGTAAATGGTAGGTGTTGTAGTTATAAAATAATCCTCTAAAGATTTATTAAAATGTAAAAAAAAAAAAGGTTATTACTGAGATAATGGACACAAATATGTGTCGCCTTCGGTCTTTAGACAATTTGCCTTTATTGCATTTTATAATTAATCTGGCTCTGCATTTAGCTACAATATTATAGTAGCAGTAAAATATAATATTGTTAGAGCTATAGAAAACTGCGTTAGCAGAGCTCATGGTTTTATTGTTTTGTCGTTTCGTCAGAAAAGAGCCCTATTGTTTACACTATGTGACGTAATTTTTTAGAGACGTAAAAATATAATATGCATATAATTATATATATTTTTTATCTCTACGACGTTTCTTCATCTTAGTTACCGCGAATAAAAAAGATACGTCGACGAGAAATTACATAGGTAGTGGTTTTAAAATCTGAAATTAAACTTAAATAATATATAGGATGTATAGTCGCTCATTATTTCTCTACGATTCACGGTGAGTTATAAATCAAACTTCCGACTACAGTTATTTTCCATGCAACGCAATTATTCGCGTTATTGCAAACGCAATACGACATAAAACGCAGTAAATGGTACGGGCCTATTAGAAAATGAACATCTCGGTATATTAAATAAAATCATTTATTTATAACGGTTCAGTTATAGACGCAAAACTGCAAAACTGTTCTGGTGCTATGAAATTGCCAACTCTTATCGCCGTTCGATTTTGAATTAAGGTTGGTACTAGGTTCAGTTAGCTATAAAAAACATATTAAAAAGATCTAATATTGCTGATAGGTGTATATTTGCTATGGAAAATCGGGAAGGTAAGGTACATTAAGTTATTTAATTTATATCTGTATGCAAAGATAAACCATTGTGAACAAAAAATGATCCCGAGGGAAGTTCGGTTATACATGTTTTAAAATATCATAATTTTTATGATTTTCGTCAGAATTTAAGCTCAAAACGAACAATTTTATCTAAATATGTGGCTACTAAATGAAAATTTTCTAAGATTGGCTCAATAATCACCAAAATATTTTGAAAATGTCATCATGTGGAGCAAAGGCTAATAATATTATGAATACATTTCAGCTCTCAATGACTTTAAAAATTGTACAACAAAAAACTAAAAACGAAAATAATGGAACCACTAATTTTGTAAATTTTTCTGGATTTCCTACGTTTTTTCGGAAAACTGATTGAAAAATCAAAACAGGACATTCTTATTAACCAGCTGGAAATAAATTTGAACAAAAAAGGTCAGTTATTATTTTTCGAATGGAGCAATATTTCTGTATGAAAACATAATTTGTAAACATTTCAAATAATGAAATCGGTACCTATTTGTCGATTTTTATTTTATGAAACCTAAGTTCGGATAAATGTGTTTTGAAATGCCGTGATTTTTACAATTTTTATAAAAGTTTTAACATAAAACGTTTATTAAAAAAATTAATGCTTTACGCTCGTTTTTTCTTTTTGTAAATATTAAGTGTTATCTACATTTTGAAATTCGACATGCGCGCCTTTCGTGATGCGTGCACATTTCGTGCCACAGATACGGCTGCCATCACGAACCTGCAGTAGTGACATTGATATATTTAGGTAAAAACACGCTCTTTGTATGTATACAGCCACGAATACGGCGATGGTATAGACCATAGATAAACAATATAGGAATATCGTGAATCGTTATTATTAAATACGCGAACAGGAAAATATGAGCCTAGAACAAAAAAATTTTAGTGTTTTTTTAAAAAATTTTATTTTGTCTGAATTTAAGATTTTCATATCTTATATTTTTATTAATATTTTATCTAGGTATATATGTATTTATGGAATGAACCCGAAATTAAAGATCAACTAAACAAATTAAAACTAAAATGAAATCTTACTGGCTGTTAAAGAAAAGTTTAAGAGTGCTAAATATTAATATGAAAACAGGGCTATGGTTAGAAATGCGTCATAGGCCGATAATTGGGTATTTTTTAAAGAAGTTAGAGAGAAAGGAATATAGAAGTAAACAAACGAATGAGTGAAGCGGAAGGAAACTTCAAAGGAAATTCCAGATAAAAGACTATGAGAATCTGATTTATCTATAATATTGAAGAGCGAAGAGAGATTATACACATTCCTGCAATTTGTATGTACATAATATATAAAAAGGCGGACATACTTTCTACTTTAGATGCATCACAGTTGTACGTGGGAAGTTGGAAAGTAAGGATACTAAATACTAATACTAAATTATAAGGTAATTTATTTTGTATGTGTATGCAAGGAAAAATTGTTGTAAATTAATATAAATTAATAACTATTCTAAACAAAGTACGATTTATAAGATTTCGATTAACTTTTAAAATTTAAAAAAAAATTGTACATAGTTAATAAATACAAAATAAATTACGATTATCCGTGATTTTCGTCTCAAATTTGTGTGCATTTTTGTTGGGTTAAAACAATTGAGGAGCTGGGTGCACGAAGAACATTTTCTGAAAAAACGTGTTTTGAGATAAACGAAGTTAAAGTTTCAAATGTGTGACACTCTTTTGGATATGCTCACATGGTTATATAATTTGTGTCATCTGAAAGAAAATAATTATGTCTTGGGGGTTTTTTTTTTTTTTTTTGTCCACTAAGTTTTAAATGATGTTTTGATGTTTGGGACGTTTGGTTATGAAAATGCTCTTCATGCAGCAAACAATAATTACCTATTCTATTTCAATTTAAATGATTAAAGAACTTGTATTTTATTAATTTATTCATAATTTTTTAAAAATATGAACGTAATAATAAATAAACAAATAAATAATTATAATTATAAGAATATAAATAAAATTACAAATTTATATTTTATGTTTTATTACTTGTAATTTTAAATATTTTCTCAATTCCTTAATGCTTAGTTTTATTTAGAAACGGTTTTTATCAAATATATTAATCTAAAACGAAAAATAAAACTTACACAATTTATAAATATAACGTACATAGTATGTGGTTCTATGCAAGAAATGCATTTACACACTAACACATAAACGCTTCTATAATACACTATTATTAAAACTTCAACCTAAAATGTTATACACATATAGTATAGAGGTCGCTAAGTTCAAAAAAATATTTTAAGCAAAAAGGGCAATTCCGTTAAAATGCCTTTCTTGCACACAGCCCCTCAATTTTATCTACACAAAACTAAATAAAAACTTAAAATATAGGTTAAATTTTAAATGGTTATACATAGCACAAACATCGACAGAATGTTTTGAAAATTGTAAAGCGCGACGACAGTGCTAAAATAAGTGCACGGTGAAAATTTCAAGTCTTTACGGTTATTTGTAACTGATTTACAAATAACAATATCGAGAGTAACAAAACACCTTATTGTGTAAATATTCCCTTTTTCAATATTTATCCCAGATAATTCCAATTATAATAATGAATACAAGAGAAAAAACTACCCCAATTCACCACAGAGAAAGTTTGCCTACTTCTGAAGTCAATAATCAGTGGAATATTTCTGTTAGAGAAGTGGCAAACATACAGAAAAAAAGAACACATCATACGCTACACTTAGAATATAAAAAAAAATTACTTCGTTATAGCGTCTGGTCTCGACTATTCCGTGGTCTTCAAAATAATAATAATAAAAAAAAAAAAAAAAAAGATGTAAACGAATGCTTTTTCAATTTGTTATAATAACATATGCACAAACAAAAAATATACATATATAATTTCATCTCATACAATATTAAAATATAGGAGTATATTACACTACGTTGAGTACAAAAAAGTATAATAATACAACAAAACTTTAATATAAATTAGAGTGGTTAGATACTATATGGTTTTTTGTCCTGTTTCAGGGAATTCGAAATAGAAACGCGATCACGTAAGCGAGTGTGCATACGCACGTTTACCGATAAAAGTATCTTATTGGTTTACTCTTTTTTAGACTTTTTTTTTTTTACAGATATTTTAGTTTGTTTTTTAGTTTTTGGTTGCTCATCTGTCAGTTTGAATTTAAAATAATATTTATTTATTTTACAAAGTGACGGGCTTAGCCCTTGTTTAAAAGTGCAATGTACATTAAATAATAGTTTTAAGATTTTAAGATATTATATAGTTATAGAGAAAACACATAATAAAATACGTTAACAATAAAGGTACATAAACCACATAGTCATTGCTTTTCATAAACAAACATAAGAAAAGAAGGATTCGAATTGCCGTGAGATATTTACTGCCTTAATAGGTTCATTGCATAGGTCCATCAAAAATGAAACGGCTTTCCTAGTAGTGCCCTGGGGAATCTTAAAACTAAGCAAAGAGATGAGGACGGACGAATACAGTTTATTATTTAAAATACTTCCACGAAGTTTATACCCGCTAAACGTCTACGCTCAGCCAAAGATGTTTAATTGAGTAAATCAGACAAAGGGGTATAGTCATAGGGCTCACATGGGATCTGCAACAAATTACAGGCGAACCGCATAAACCGTTGCTGTACCCTTTCAAGCTGCAACGAGTCATTTGCAGTATGAGGATCCCATACATCCGCATCATACTCGAGAATTGGACGAACTAACTCATAAAAAAGTGCCTTAATAAACATTCTAGAACGAATATTCTTGGACAATTTCATTATGAATCTAAGGGTTTTAAAACCCTTACAACAAACATAATTAATGTGAGAACCTGGGTCAAGTTTATGGATGAATTTGAACCCTAGGTTCATGACGCCCTCATCAGCAACACGCATAACAAGTGACTTATCGAGACAGTAAGAGAAAGCTATTGAAAAACGTGTTCTATTAAAAGTCATAATCTTACACTTGGAAAAATATAGGGATAAACCTAATTGCCTAAACCAATTTTAAAACCTAATAAAAACATCTTGTAGTTTTAAGCAATCGTCAACTGTAAAAATTCGAGTATACAGTTTAATGTCATCCGCAAATCTAAGGTAGGGCTGGAACCATAATAAAAGAGACTCAACTAAACCAGACTGCTTAAGGATGCTTACAAGAGCATTATAATTAATTGAGTCAAATATATTGTTAAAATCCGTGTAAACTACATCGACCTACGATCGATTATGCAAAGACTCAAGTATATAATTGTAGAAAATTAAATACAGGTCGAGGTGGAACACCCAAGACGGAAACTATGTTGCTCCTTCACAAGAAAATTATTGATAGATGGTTGAATAGCATTCAATACTAAATTATTTTTGAGATGATTAGCAGATTTAAAAATAGGTGTAACAGAACTAAACTTGAGCTTAGAAGAAAAAAAACATTTAGACGAAAAGGTAATGTGCACGCAGTGAATACAACGTGAGCAGCGCGATCCGTATCTCGCAGGATAGGTAATTACCGGGCGGCACAAGATAAAACAGTAAAACTACTGAAAAAAAAGAAGAAAAAAAGGTTGGTTGACGATAAGAAATAGGTCGTGACTAGAATAGGTCACGAGAGTATGGCGATAAAATAAGTGAATGAACGCGGACCACACGTCGTTTTCGGTCAAAGACCAAAAAAACCTGGTATTTTCGTTGTTTTTTTTTCGTTTTTGGTGGCTCGTCAGACGGTTAATATTAAAAATAATATAAATATATCATTATAAAATCTAATACTAACGAGGAAACAGCGTCAAGTGATGTACTAGTGATATATACGGTCGAATAAATTATCTCGTTTTCCGGCGATTTGTTTCATTTCACATATTATACCGATCGCGAGGTATGTGGAGAATGTGACGTCATGTGCGCTGTTTATTTTCTTCGGTTCGGACAAAGAGGCGATCCAACCATCCAATGAATATGGATTCAACACCCACACACTTGTGGCTGGCTATGAAATTATAAATTCAGGTATCCGTTTTTGAAGTTATTCGAACTGTAATAGTTTGAAATTTCCGAAGTTTATTTTTAGTTTTTATTTGGTTTTATGTGGATATCAACTTTTGACTTTTCAAAAATATCCGAAAATTTGACAAAATTTTCATTATAATTTGTTTATATGACACTATTATATAAATATGTCATGATTAAAGTTCAAACATTTTAATAAATACAGAATATTGTAAAAACCACAACTAATTATAATTAATTCGTATATAAATTTCCAATTTATACGATTTATATGATTGAAATTTGATCGGCGCAGTAAGAGTGCTAAGCAATTTGAGGCAAAAAACACGGAGAATTTTAATTTATTTTATAGTTACAGAATAATTTTTTTTTTAACAGTTTAACCGAACTTTACTCGGAATAAACTTGTCCACGTCGAAACGATCGTCAGAAAAAAAGTCAATATTGCATATTGATTGATCATTGAAGGTTATTTTCGTACGTACTTACCCACTGCTGATATACTCGGACAAATAAAGAAAAAACCGATTAACCCTTCATATAGATAGGTTATTTTTTCATTTTTTAATCACCTCGCCGACATTACCGTTTACACTGTTAAACTCTCAAAACGAACAAAACAAAAGCAATAATAGTAATAATAAACAAAAAGAGTCGAGAAGCCAATTGAATTTCGATGTTTTTCCATCACACAATAGCCGCTGTTGCCCACATAACCCGATATACCCGTTAGAAAAAAATTTAATACAAATATAAAATGTTGAGAAAAAAAACACCAACTGGACCAATCTTTCTACCAGAATTAAACACATCCTAAATTAATAATTTGATCAATCGATTTCTAATTAAAAATAATTGTACGGCCAAACAAAAAAGGCACGGATAGAAAAATCAATCCATTCCTCGATACGTTATTTATATATTATTTTAGGAAATATAATAACTGTTAAGTCGTAGGTCATCTGTTAATTCTTAAAATTTCACTAGGCAATGGCCGTGTTTCTGTTTTTCGTTATTATTAGATACAGAAAATTTTTAAATTGATAATTTTAATAAATTTAACAATAATTTGATATTTTTAACTATAAATAATAATATTCTTAACTTCCTAACTAATTTGACATGTTGGCTAATTTTGTTGGTTAGACATTTTTTCTGACATCCTCCCTCATCACAACGGGTTGTTTAACTACGTAAACGTTTCTCTCGACTTATATGTATACTTTTTTTTTTTATGTGTAAATATTATGTACCAGTGCCGTAGAAATACTCACTTCACGTCACTCTTGCAGTAAAATACGACATAGAAGAAAAATGAAACAAAAAAAAAAACCTTATTTCCCGGGCGGCCGTCACCGCTATGTTTTCCCGGGACGATTTTTTAATTTTCTCTACAACCGTGTACGGTTTTTTTTTACTAGTATTGTACATTTTTACCCTAGTTATGTCGCTAAAGACAATATAATATTCATCTTGATTAATTTCCTCGCAAAACGGAAATAAAAAGTCGTTATTTTACTGTACACATTCTACGTATGCATAGCGCAGTAATAAACCAATATCAAGTTATAGATTTTAATATGTTTTGCGTGCGGATAATAATTATATTTGTTTACAATTATTATTTCAGCTATAGTCTATTTACTTCAGCTACATTTATTCACGGCGATAACTGCTTTTGGATATGCTTCACTATCGTCTTGGTGTTTAATTTATGTCGTTCTTTTTTTAGAAAAAAAAATATATTTTTACACCCGTCAAATAAATAATTGAATAACTTTACGCTACTGTTATTTAAAAATCAAAAAAAAATTATTAAAATATTATACATTTTCGATACGCGAGAAAATGGGCGAATTACGAAATGAAAAAAAAAATGCATACAAGTTGGAAAGATCGGACGGAATACATTATAGGATTATTCAATTTCAATCCTGAATGCAAAGATAATATTCATTTCAATCAAAATACGCTCGGTTTTCGCGATTATTTTATTATACACAATAGTTTACAAATCTGACATGCATGAAGTCCCTGAAAGTATACGTACAGAGTGTTGACACCTCTATAAAACGTGAGAAACTTAGACAGTTGATACAGAGGAGAAAATTAAATAACACAATTTTTAAACGCAGTGCTATCGGAATGCGTTTAAGATTCAATGGACAGAATTTGTAAGTAGAAAACCAGTTATAGGAAGTAATTAATAGAATAAAGGATAAATGAGAATTTTGGCATAGTACGAAAGTCAAAAGCGATACAAATTATAAGGCAATAATAAGGCCTTTATGACGAAAAGCGTTATAGAAAGAGACATAGAAGACAATATATTGGAAGTGAAAGAGTGGAGTATGGAGTATACAAATAAATTATGTTGGAATAAATGGATATTGGATAGGGATGGTCTCAAATATAATAAATATTAAAAGAAAATAAAGTACAAAATGAAAGTATGCAGCATACCTATAGGATAATACTGAAAACGAAAAGAATGATATAATTTACCAATTTTTTGGGAGTTTCGTCAAAATTTGAACTTAATCGCGGAAAAACACACGGATCATAGAGAAACCGAAAATCGATTTACTCAGAATTTAAATCTCGACTGTACTAAAAAATATTTTGTCGCTTAAACTGGAACAGCACGTATCTCAACAGTTTATAAAATGGGATTATTATCGATATTAATTTAAAGAAATGTTTCCCAACATTTTTGTTTTATAATTTGTATTGTTAGACTCGTAAGTACTACTATAAATCATGAAAATGATGATGTCACTTAAATAAACATTTAGATTTTTTAGCTTGTATCAACATAACGTATTCAGTTAATAACACGTGGCAATAGCTGTAGGGAACAAAATACATTATTAGTACAAAATAAATAAATTAAACATTACCCCAGTATTTAACTTGATGAGATAAAATCATCTAAATAATGTTTTTTGATCATCATGTTAAATTACAAAAACTGAAATATACATTGTTGTATAATATAAGCGACGATTTTCCAGGATCGTCGAAAAAAAAACCGGACCGACATTATATTCGTAATCATTCATTGAACACGTATTCATTTTTTTGCGGCGGGGCATACTCGTATACCTATATGTGAAGGTACTTCGGGACGCTTATTAAAAAACTCCGAAACCGGGCGGTGATAAATACCATACAATGGTTTTATTATTATTATTTTTTTTTTTAACTAATGTATACTATCATACTACAGTAGGGTCGAAAATTCTAAGAAAAATGTTTCAGTACCTACCTACCTAATATTTCAATGAATATAGTGGTTTTTTAAATATTTTTTTACCGCGCTATACCGACTATATAAAGTTTGAAAAGAATTTAATTGGAGCTTCGATATGATATAGGTGGGTACTTCATTATTCGAGCGCAAAGTATAGCATACTCTTAAGTTCCCAGTCTGCAAAGTACAGACTTATTATATTATTGGTAGTTGGAATACCTACAAACAATTTAAAATTTTCTTTTTTTTACCACGAGATAAGCGAGGATTTTTTTCACTACGAACATCAAAAACATACTATGTATACCTCTATAATATAATAATTTCGAAACACAATATATTTCAGTACATTTCGTTGATGAAACTGCAACATGCATGAATATTGTATTTATATACCAATACATATAGGTATAGAAGAAAAAACTAATATTTTTCACTATTTTCTTGGGAATATGCGATGTCAAAACCAGATATTACAACAGACATTTAAATTTTATATTATATTTATGCGAATGTTTTACACAATTTATAGGGACAACGTTTAGAAATTTTAATTGTATATGTAAATATTTTGCAAACATGACGTACAAAAAAGCCGAAGTATTTTGTATCGTGGCTGAGTGGTCCGAAAAAATAAACAAAACTGTACAAAATCACTTTGTAATTTCTAATTTCTAAAATATAATTTGAAAAAGAAGAGACAAGATATTTGATTATTGTTGGCTAAAAAAAAATTCGGGACTAAAACGATTAAACATAATATTTTGTAAAATATTTAATAGGTTCACAAAAATTTGTTTACCATCTTAAATTAATGTATATATTTGTTTTCTATAGTCATTTTGACAACCCCTCCATTATAATTATCATACTCCTGGATTTGAGCCACTGTTATATTAGGAATGTATGCTATAACTAGATCCTATATATCTTCCTCTCTTCGTTAATACTACTAAAAGGTACAACAAATCATTTTAATCAAAAACCGATATTTTTCGACTGTTAATAAGTTTTCTGTCAGAAATTTTATTTCAATCAAAAACCGACAAGAATATTTTTTTGTAGCGAATTGAGTTGTTTTATTAAAAAGGTAATTATTATTCGATTTCGATTATAGTTTTCCTAACAATGGGGAAAAATGGAAATAAATAAAATCAAAAAATCGTTATAGCGTACTATATACGTATATTACTGGTTCCTGTTTGTTTAGATTTTGGGTTATTTTATTATTATTATTATTATCAAGATAAAAACGAAGGATAATAAAAAGATCATAGTAATCTAGTAAAAATAATCGTAGAGAGTAAACCGAGTGTTTAAGTCAGTCCTTCCTTAATATACGTGGTATAATTTTTAAAATATTTTATAGATTTTTGAGCTACGTATGTATAGGGTATTATATTTTTTTAAGTTGATAATTTTAAAAATTTCTGGTCAAAAATGTGTCCTAATACATCTAAACATAAGGTTTTTAAAATATTAGCTTGATCGGTCCTAATTAACAAGGCACGCTTGAAGTTAAAAGATTTATGAAATAGCGAAATTCTTTTTTTTTTGTTGGTATATACTTCCTTAAGTCTTAATTTTTACGAAAAATTATGTAGAACTTTTACTATCGAACTGATTATTTTTTAAATAAATTCATTATTTTGTTGTTCTATTTTAATTTAATTTAAAAAAATTACAGTTTAACAATGTTAAAAACGCATAAACCACAGACGGTGTTGTGTGCTAGTACTGCAATTTAATATACTATTATACTCGTACGACAGACATTAAACGGATTATAGATTCTCGATTTCGAACGGAAGGTTAGGTTAGGTTTACAAAAAATACAAAGAGACCATTTATTTAGGAAATATACAGTTCTACAATTATTATGCAAATTTTTTATAATTTTTTGTAATATTCAGATTTATATGCAAAACTATACAAATAAATCTATTTTTTTTAAAAAAAATTGAGTTTGAAGCGCACCTTGTTAATTAGGTCTAATTGAACTCAAATTTTAAGGACCTTATGTTTAGATGTATTAAAGTAAATTTCCGACCGGCACTCCTTAAAATTAACATTTTTCCATACTAATAACCTACACTCTATATTATGTATATTGTATATTCGTTTGAAATTTTTGAGAATTTTTAGTTATGATTTGTTTTATACAAAATAAAATTGTTTTTCTTATACGACACAAAAAAAATTTCGAAATTTCGATGTAAAAATTATGTAAATATTAAAACACAATATATTTAACCGCAAGAATTGTTTTTCGTTATCGACGATCTAACGCGATGACATACCGACATAATAAAAACGGTAAAAAATGTAACGCATTCGAATGACCCGCTCGTATAGAGGTGTTAATTTTGTATTATTATGATTTTTTTTTTTTTTTGTTGCAACGAAGGCGATTTTCATGCGCCTTTCAACCGAAGAGTTCTAAAAAATATTTTATGCTTCGAGATACTATATATACCCGTTAAATTGTAGGTACACGATGTAAAGGTTCGAAGTGTTTTTCCCCCTATATATATATATATTTTTTTTTTTGTGGGGCGATTAAAACAAATAAAAATACCACTCGAAACAATAAAACCGGCCGTCTGTTTTACGGGCGAAAAAAATATATCCATAAAAACGAATTAAAAATATGGCTTTTATGCGATACCGCGTAGGTATATATATATAAACATATAAAAAAAAACCCGCCAAATCCGGAGAACTATGTATAATAATATAATATTATTATAAATATAACCCGTCGACGTGTCCCGTTCCGCGGTCGGGTTATTTTTACGGGCGAAATAATAAAAAATCGTCTCCTCTCTCTGTCTGTATATTTTATTACCGTATCGTTTCCGCTAAATCGTTTTACCGCCACCAGAGTATACACATAAGCGTATTATATCATAACCGGCGACGGAGTCCCCCGAGACAATCCAATTAATACGTTATAAATAATAATAGTTTTTAGTTTTTTTGTTTTTTTAATCTGCGTAACACCGTATAGGAAACCCGCAGGGTTTAATATAATACAAATCAAATTTTCGTAATGAAAGTCGAAAATTTCTCGGTTTTTTTCGATTCTAACCGTCACAAACGGCTAATTCCTTAATGAATTTCCTTCTCCATGGCCTTCCAAAATTATCATTGACAAACTTTGAGTCATAAAATACTCGACAAATTCTACGTTCTGTATTGGACTGGTTGCAGTTCATGTTTCTCTCCCTCCACTCATAAGTGAGTATGATTCCAATCGACGTAAACTCAGGGCCGAATTAATGAAATAAGTGACCATGGGCAATTTTAATATCTAAATTATTTCGCATTTTTTTTTTCGTTCAGCTGGTTTTGTAAATCTCATACCACATTTTAATACTGAATTGTTGAACTAAAAATAAGAATTTTTTGAATAAATATTTTACAATATACTGTTATATTGCCATTATAATATTGTAATACATGTTATAAATGTATAATACAAAGTCTAACTTCCGGTTTTTCATAGAAGAGAATTTTTCATTGATCATCGAAAAATATACTTAGTTCCTGGTAAATATACAACAGTTCAAGCCCGCATAAGCGATCCTATTACATTTATTTTGTAACTAGAAATCAACGACAAGAGGCAACGGCCGAACCACCAAAACGTAATGATAACACCAGAAACCGGTTCAATCATAGATATCAAACATTTTTTAATATCTATAGATTTATGTTATCATATTAATAAGTATCAACTACTTCATGAAAAAAAAAAAAAAACATTTCAAAATAATTGTAAAAACATTAAAAATAAATAACAATGCACACATATAATTATCCACCTCCCTAAAGGTACGCCATTGAATATACATGGTGACTGAGATCTTATTAAATTGCGGGTTAACCCTTCTGACATATATTATCAGTCGAAATATTCATCAATTATTACATTTTCTAAAAGATCGGCGAAAGACAATAATTACTTCTATAAAACAAAAGAAAATTATTGTGTTTTGTTTTTCACTTCATTACATTTAAATAATTTATCATACCACATTATGTCGTTCTCATTAGTACCGTAACTACTCTCGTGGTTAAGCCCCCCACCAAAACACAGCAAGCTCCCCTCAAAATCAAGTCCTTATTAAGTAAATACTAATTACAGTAAGTACACATAATCAATATAAATCAATGTTACAGAGGTTCAAGCCCCCATTTGTATAAATAGTTTATTTGTGCCTAAAAACGGCGCAAGAAAGGGATAAATATTTCACGTTTTATACAACTTAAATATTAATTATTAGTATTGAGTTTTTTTAAAAAACCACTCCATTATTAACTCAATATTTTTTATAAAATTCTAGTGAAGAAAATAGTACTATCATATAAATTACCTAAATCCAAAAAAAATGTTTTGACCCTTTTTTATTTCTGTCAATACTTGTTAATATATAGCCCAGTTAAACTAAGAAAAAATTATAAACTAATTTCTTTGAATGCCGAACTTTTATACATAATTAGTCCATGTCTTACCGATGAACATAGAAAAATTCTTGAATCGTATCCATATTGAGTGGTCACGCTGTTTTTCATACTGTATTGTTACATCAGACACACAGATATTTGTATGATAAATATGTTGAGTGAAATTGAAGGTAAATGTTTTGTTAATAACACAAATTATTAACAAATTATATCAACAATTACTCAACAATTTTACTATTGTAATACAATTAATAAAAAAAGAAAAGAGTACTAATTTTAAAACTTCAACAATTTTCACGTCTCTACTAATATTCCAAAAAAAAAAAACCCTTCCTAAGAAGTTTGGTTCCAGATGTGAAATTGTTGTTTGTAAAACGGTAATTTGTTTAGTTAGTGAAATATTTTCAGATATTAAATTTGTTAATTTATTATCTAAATTATGAAATCTTTGGTTAATATCGAATTTGTGGGCGTTAAGGCTATTATTTATGGTATCTAATAGTTCTTTTATATCTAGATTATTTCCCCGTTGTTTTTTTTTGAGTTTTCGAATTTCACCAGAAAATTCCTGAGGAAATCGAAAGATAACCTCCCTACGCCGATTTCCTATCAGAAAAGGTGCTGTATTTAGAAATTCGTAAAAGTTTTCAAGTAGAAAAGTCGCGGACATATATACTTATAAAAAACATATTTGTAAAACCATTTGCTCCATTCAGAATCTAAAAGATCAGTGGATTCAACTTTTCCATTTAACAGATTTTCAATTAATTTACAAATAGCAATACGTCTTCGCTCAGGCAATGACAAAAGGCCAAGAAGATAATCTATATATTATAATACATAAGTAATCAATACGTAATTCATATACTATTATAATCTATAGGTATTATTTTTTGAAAAATTGTGGGGAAAAGTAACTTTATCACACAAAAACCATAATGTGAATCATCCATTTATTCGAATATTTATTGATCCTGACTACTTAATATATTTATAAATTATAAACATTATAGCTATAAAATGCAACATAGCAATTCAGCAACAAAAAATAATGTTAAATATTTATTTTTTTGTACATTTGAATGATCCAAAATTTATCAACCATTCGAAAATGTATATCAATGGAAATTGTGATCATTTTGAGCTTTTAAATATTAAATTATTATTAATCAGTAGCAAAGGATATATTTTGGTAATATTTTGTTTTAATACCTACTTATCTATATTAGGATGTCCCTTATACATGTGATATATTTTTTATTTTTTTATTTTTTTAAGTTTCACCCTCTAAATGTATGTATACGAATAAAAAAAATGAACGATTTTAGATAGACAATTTATAGACAATTGTAGACCATCAATAAAAACATGATGATTTAATAATAGGAAGAAATGTTATAAAATCTGGAGTTATTGAAACACGATCACCAATGATCGAAAATAAAAAAGATTAAATCGTGCGATTCATGCGTTTCGACTGAATCGTGTAAATCAAATTCATGAGTTTCAGCTGGATCATGTAATTCTAACCCGTGCGTTTCAGCTGAATCATGTACAAAACGAATATCAATTTACCGTCGCGAATACTTATCGCGGATCGTACGATATTACGATAATATAATGTTATATTAGATAAATATCGTCAGAAAACATTACATTACGCCACGGTCGTTTTATTTCGGTTTTTTCATTTTCAAGGACGGGCCGAAATAATATGAAATCGAAATCCACGAGTTAATATTGAAATTAACCGATATATCGATAACCGATTCGTTAATACTTTTTACGATACGATCCAAACATAATAAGACGTTTTTCTTTTATATATTAATTTTTTTACGTATTCTGTAACTTTTCGAATGACGGCGAAGATGCGAGATATTATTTAGGCGTAGCGTCTTCCAAAAATGAAATATTGTCGTCTTTAGCGACGGTTAATCGAAACGAATCTAATAATAGTGTAACATACATATCATTACAAAACTCAACATTTTAATAATATATTATATTTTAGCGTTGAATCTTGTTCCGAAATTCAGCTATCCGATGTTTCTGGTTCATATATTTTCTTATTTTCCGATATCGTATTTGATAACGCAGAAAAAAATGTTACAATCGAATGCTCGCGTTGCGGAAAAAAATTAAATATAACTGTATATATCTATAAGCGTACGCACGTGGTGGCAGGGTGGGCAGCTGCCCTCTCTGCAGGCTGATTATTTTTTCCAAGTAAACTAATATTAAAACAATTTATTTCGGTAGTCATTATTTAGGTAATCGTGTTCATGACTAATATAAATATAATAACAATTTACCACAAATCTGTGATGTACACAAAATGATCCAGTTCATTATCATTAATTATTAATAAAATAATTAAGTAAAAACAAAATTATTAAAATGGTTAACTTTAATAAAAATAACTTTTTTTTTTAAATTCTTTAAGTATATACTACTTCGTATATTTTGGTGTTAATTTTCAAATAATGGCTTGTACAAATGTACATATTTTAATACTCAGATTTAAATAAATAATAATAATACGAGTTTATATTTGAATTAATAGTTCATAATAACATACATCGCCATGTCAACCAAATCAACAACTGTAACTATGTACTAGTAACCATGTTGTTGGACGGACACAACGAGAATAGGTTGAACTTATGTTTAGAAACCTAAAACCATGTAAATTTATGTTCGTATACTAATACTAATATATATACTCCGGTAATTTTCGCAATTTTAAAAACATCATTACCTATTCTTTCTGGAGTCATTTTTGGATTGAATTTTACGGAATGTTGATATTAAACGCATGGCGGTCGGCAATTTTAAAAAAATCTTCAGCGATTTTGAATTCTTAAAATTAGTTTGCTTTCGTTCATTCTGACAATTTGATTTGGAATACCTATGTTATATTATGACGTGGGTTTTTCGTTATCACCTCGGTCCGTATAAAAATAAGGTATCGGCCGATCATCACATTTCGGTGGGAAGCCGTTGAGTCAGTCGGCGATGAGACCCGCACTAGGAGTCCTTCCAAGCAGCAATAACAAGCAATGTCGTTTGTAAAAACGTGACGCATTAACGCCACCGAGTGGCGTTTGGTTGGTTCGGGACGGGATTTGGATGCATTTTTTTCTCGTTAACGTCCTGGTGGTTAGTGATGGTAACGATGACGTGCAGTCGGTGGCGGATTTACTGAAGTAGTTATACGAATCTCGGGAGATCGGAGATGACTGATGTGACGACGAAGACGACGTTTAGATTAATCGAGATCGTTTTTCGAGAACGAGCTAATCGCAAGAAAAACTCCATGAGAGTAAATAGTTTTATTTGTATTATTATTATTTCATTATTTATATGTATTAACTTGTAATTTAAAATCACATCTACTATAGAGAAAATATGCAACGAATCGATTAAATATCTAATTAGATCCATTAGTTCAGATCCAAATAGAACAAAAATTATACAATAACTGACAAAGAATGTGAAGCCAGAAGGAATATCAACTAAGAGAAATCATCAACGTCCATTTCATACAATCTCTAACTGGACACGGTTGTTTCC